TTTTTTTTTTTTTTTTTTTTTTTTTTTTAACAAAAAAATGTTAACCTTTTAACTGTGAAAAAATCTGAATGATCGGCCAGTTACCAAGGAAAAGGTGGAAAAAAAAAAAAAAAATTCCCTGTGTGTATATCTTTTTTTTTTTTTTTTTTTTTTTTTTTAAACTGTTTTAGCAAAATTGTTCTACCACCTCAATTGTAATTATTTCATTGGAGAACAGAAAAATGCACAAATTAGGACCATTACTTTGGCTGACCGTTACTATGCTTTGCTATGTTTCTTCTTCTGTTCTTTTCCCCCCCTTGTAACCGTTTGTCGCCCAATTTAGTTCGCCATAGCAGCAAAGCGCATGCGTCCACATGCTCGCTTCGACTTAGCCATAACAGACCAGTGCACACTGCAAAAAATATAAATGAATATCTGGCTGCACACCTACACCCTAGATGTTCCCTTCTTTCTGAAAAATGTGCGCCACACGGGTAAGTCGCCAGTCTGCTGCGTCCTCGCAAGTTGCGAATGTGCGCAGCGCTGTGGTGAATAGTGCGTACACGTACACCTCGCTTTAACTTGTTTACTCGATTTAACCGCTCCACCCCTTTAATCGCTGCACGCGCCCTACCCCATTTGCGCCACTGTGAACCCCGCCCCAGGAATCGAAGTTTTCGGGAACGAGTACACGTTCTCCATGGACGGAATCACGACATGCAAGCCCAAGAGGTCGACCATCGGGCAGTACTGCAAGAGCTATGAACTGACCTTCGTGGACATAACGTATGCCCAGTTTGCTGAAATTTTAAACGCCCTCGGAAAAATATACAGACCTAACACCTACAACTTTGTGTGTAAAAACTGCAACCACTTCTGCGATGACTTGTTTGAGTTGCTCAGTGGCAAAAGATTGTTTCATACATTTATGATTTATTCTCGGTTGGGAAAATTATTCGGCAACTTTAAGAACCTAGCCTTGTGTGGGTACATCGACTCCATGGAGCTTTCCGGCAATGACAAGGAGATGTACGTGTACGCGCTCAAGCTGTCCAAGTCGATCATACGGCGGAATAGGAACTCGCCAGTCGGAGTGGCGAGCAAATCACAGAGCGGTTTCCCCACTACCTTACCTTCCAGCTTGGCGGGAAATTTCACAAGCGGCCTGCCCAGCAACTTGCCCCCATGCTTGACGAGCGGCTTGTCTACTGTCCATTTCAACAAACCAAGCGAAGATTACTGCAGTCGATTTTGCAACCCGCCCCCGATATATGTCATCCCGTACACCCCTTACGTGAATGACTCTTGCATGGTTCAAAACGTCTCTTACGGCGAGAATACCTTTAACGGTCCCATGGACAGCCTGCCTGATGAGACGCACAAGGGGTTTTTCACGAATGGCCAATTCAGAACTATTTATTCGATTAGTACGAGTGACAGCTTTTCAATGGCATAATGGGGGTAGCTATATGATAACAAAATGGTGTGAATTTTTGCGAAGGCATGTGACACACTCCTCCGTAGGAAGACCCCCTAATGGGGGATGACCGCTTGGGCTCCTTTCTGGAGGACACGGTCACTTTTTCTCGTTTTCCTCCCTGGGGCCAAATTACAACATGCGCCCTGTAAGCCACAACATTTTTTTTTTTTTTTTTTTTAATTCAACAATTTAACACATAAACAGTGCACATCACACGTATGCCAGTTTGAGCTCCCACATAATCTACATAGCGCGTGGAGGAACTTATACTGCCGCCTTTGCTTTACAAGGCTGACTTAAAAATGGAGAATATTTAAAAATGGCGCAGCACCTGCCATGAACACAGATACACATATATGTACCCAACTAAGTTGATATTCAAGCATACAAAAACAGGCCTACCTAGGGAGATGCACACGCACGTAAACGTGCCCTGGTAGGTGGGTGAGTCAAAGGGAAGGGCACACAGTTGATAATGATGTAAGTGTTGCGCGGCGTGCACGTATATGGGTGCGAACACATGAGCTATTTAAAAAAAATAAAATAAAATAAAAAATACACACATATAGTTATATTCATATGAAAGGGACCACTTTGTACTATCACTAAAACGCCAAAGTGTTCCATTTAGGTGCATGCAGCATTCACAAGGGATACAAATAGGGGGGTTGTTTGTTAAGTCATTACTGGGATTGTTTTTTTTTTTTTTTTTT